AGAAAGAGAATATTACAAACAACGGAGAGTAAAAAAAGCCCAAACCCTAAAAACTATTTAAAAAGTACTTGACAGTGTCCCTTTAATATCCACAAATGATTCAGCCATTGTGCATTGAAAGAGAATGTTCCTGAAGAGCAGCCAGTACCTTTGTAGATATATCCCAGAAAAGGAGACTTATTAGAAGCCTAATATATTCGGTCAGTAACTGTGCTCCCTCTTCAGACTAACTCTCTGTTGAATGATTGAATGGAACAGACTCTGTAATAAACTAACAAACTGGATATGGAAGGCTCAGCCTGCAAGACTGAGCGAGACCCTGTTGCAAATTGAGCAGCAGGGATGCACGCACCAAAAAGATGTACTTTTCTAATGTATGGGCATCTGAATCAGCAAGGTAGCAGCAACCCACTGAGGTGGATCGCTTTCTTGTGACCGGAGGAAAATGGAAGGAAATTAACCTGGAAAGTATGCATGGAAAATGATGTGTGTGAGTGGGGAAGATTTGGATGCTGGATTTGGGGTAATGAAGGCAGAAATCACGCCAGTACTTGTGCTTGAAACACCTGCAGAGCGTTTGTACAAATTTGCCAAAAATGTCTATATGTCAAATAAAGGTCATGGAATGCCACCCCCCACCCTCTACCCCCTGCAACTCCACCCCCGCAAACCCTTTGTTAGGAACATTATGAAAAATCAGAAGTTTTGTTTTGCTGAAATCTGGGCAGGCTTGGGTTTTGTTAGGTTTTCTCTTGGTGGGGTGATTCAGTTCTCCCCCCCATTCCCCCCCCTTTTTTTTTTTTTGGTAAATCAATACTGAAAAATCCCCAGCCATTTCGCTTCGAATATCCTATGGTAAATTGAACAAGGTTCCAGAATGACTCATGAAACAAAACGACTCATAGCCCTGGTTAATCACAGTCTGGAAAAAAAATATCCCAAATATTTCATTCCCTTCATTGTTTTTATAAATCTCACACTTGTGTGTGTGTATGCGTGTGTGTGTGTACGGGGTGTGTGTGTACAGCATTACCTATTCCAGGTAATAAAATTTGAAAGACATACTAAGCTGTCTGTTCCTCTGCTTCCTCAGAACTCTGCCTACTCAGTTTTTAGTCTGTATTGCACTTGTTTTGTTGTTTTTTTTTGTGATTTGTGGTTTTTTTACTGGCTGGAAAACATTAACCTCTTTAGCATGAGTGTGCAGCTCTCCCTCCACCTGTTTTTTCCTCAGCTGGCCAAGTGCCGCCTCTTATATCTTGTGCAGTTACCAAAAAAGAAAAGAAGGAAGAAAAAAAAAAAGAAAGAGAAAGAAAAAGGCACACCATGCTCCTCTGCTTTATGAGTTCTTTGTCTCCTCCGCTTCGTGTTAAGGCCTCCTGAATTCCTAGGCTCAGACCGTCGTGACCCTCATGACGAGCTCTCTGTTACTACTAGACTGGCTCCTCTGTTCGTGAGGCCTCAGGTGGCTGAGTATATGCAGGATGGTGTAAGCACAGTGGTGGTCAGAGAGGGTGCCTGTGGCATGGCCGGCAGCCCGGGCCCCGCTGTCGGCTGGAGCGGAGTTAGTGGCTGTACCACCAGTGGAGGACGAGTGGGTGGTTTGGGAGGAGGGGCGCTGATTTGTCCTGGTCCCTGTTTTTTGTTCCTCCATGTCCTTTGTTTTGTCATAGTTCAGCACTTTCCACTGCTGATTGACCGCCTGCCACCGTTTAAAAATCCGGTAAACCGAGGGCCCTTCGTGTATTATTAGACCTGGAGGGAAGGGGGAAAGAAATAAGCATAAAAACAGAAACGAAATTTTAGGAAGAATCATAAACCTCCCCCAGCATCACTCCCTCTAGCTAGCTGGTTAGCTCAGTTCTCCCTTAGCTAGTGTTATTCAATGATAAATCATGTTTTTTAATTACCAACTGGCAGAGCACCAGTGCTCCTGCTCTGCTGGATCCCTTTTCCCCTGAGTTAAATGCATTACAGCTTTATCTTAGCAATCAATAAACAGGTCTTAAATGCAGCAGGGTGAGTTATGCTCTTACAGCAAAACAATATCCGTTTACCAATAAACACCTGAGGTTTATCCATCACTGGACTGGTTTTGCATGCTGCATAGGCATGATTCACCAAGCGAACGGTGCGCGTTTGGAGGGAGCGTCACTGGAACTGACGTGCTGGTGACGTCTGCTGCACCAACGTCATGTGTGTGCACAGATCAAGTCTCTCTCCACACACACAGCAGCAGAACAGACTTGCATATGGAGGCCAGAGATGGGAATCGAACAAAAAAGGGATCTATACCTGTAAATGGTTCTTTGTTGTCCTAGGCAAACATTTGCTCGTCTGCAAACCAGCTGCAATAATACCTCATTGCTCCCTTCTGAGGGGAGAAAACAACACGCTTAAAAGAAAATGCAGGTGGACTTGCACAGTACATGTGCTAACACTGAGTATGCACATGATACATATCCTGTTAGCAATCTGCATATACCGGAGTTGATGTCTGGAGGTGGCACCTGGCCATTAGGACACCTGACTTCCAATGCTGTCTGCATTTCAAAGACACTGAGCAGCTCAGGCCCTCCCATCCATCGATTAGTTCATCTCCCAGTGTTTTCTGGCATCGTCCCCACCCTTGCAAGTGGGTTGGAAGGATTAGATAATGTTAGAAGTCGTTTAGAAGATGACATTATCTGACTGTGAAGCACAGCTATTATTCAAGCTACCAGGCTCTGGCTAGATGCTTTGAATCCATGAGAAACAGCAGGGCCTGCAACACTGTGTTGTTCTTACCCGCTGAAGCTGGAGGAAACTGGAACATCTCAAGTAGACTGGCTTAGATGGCACAGTGCAATACAGCTAATAAGCTTTGATAGAGCTGTTTCATGTAAGGGTAGGGTTTATGTAGAACGAGGGGGTCTGAGTCTCCAAGTGAAGCCCTGCTGGCTTAGTTAGTTTATTTTACAGCAATCTATTTGTTAGGAAAGCACCCTTGTGCCCTGTGTGACTGCAAACAAACCAGCAGGTAGGCTATACGCTGGGCAAGATAGCACATGGTTAACTTCAGTTTTCTTAATAATAATGGATTTACTATTCTTGGTCAGCATCAAGGTTATGAGAAATGTTTCTGGGAGAAGCAGCTGTCTTGCCTATCTGTTGCAAGTGTATAAATATAAAAGCAAACAATGAAAGACCCTCAAGATCTTAAGAGTCAAATCATGCCAGAACCAGTTTTCCTGGACCAGTAGTGTGTGGGCAGAAGGTCACCACTGAACAAAGAGATTCACTACTATCCCTGATGAACCGAATGCTAGGGTTTTACCCTCCATCCAGCTTTTCCAGACTCCTCTCGTTTCTGACAGCAGCTAATTATTGGAGCAAGCCTATAATATATAAAAAAATCAAAATATCTGAAGGTCATCCTACCCCTAGGGCTGAACTCCCCTACACTCACTTATGGGATACAGCCACCTAGCTTCTTAGAGTTTACATCAGATTTCACAGTTTGAACTCTAGCTTCAGTTCAGATTGAGTTTCTAGCCTTTCTGATTCTAAACATACTTAGAAACAATGCTGACTTGATCACAAATTAGCTTTAGGGCAACTCTCACGTTCATCTTAATGGAGTGCTGAGCCTACTTAACAGCTGTAGAAGTAACCACATTAAATACTTTAAGTATTCAAATCTGGTTATTTTGGGATGGGGAATGGAGCTGCGCACAAAGATGAGCTTAGAATATGAGAGAGATCCCATAAACCACGGAGATTGCACAGATATAATCCTGTAGTAATGCCAGTTTTTCATAACCAAACATGATTATATTGTAATACAAAAACGTGGGGTTTTGCTCCCAACTTTGAAAATGTGATGGACAATTCTAACATTTGATGATCAAAGGATCAACCATAAAAAGCAGGACTTTAGGGACAATCAGCAGATCCAGTAGGATCTGGAAGGAAACAGACCTTTGAAGCAGGTCTAAAGTGGATTGGTCCATGACAAGGGACATTAGACATATATTTAAATGAACTCTCTGATCTATAATGAATGAAATTCCATTCTGCTTAATAACAGAGCCAGTGTTTCTCTGAAATCACTTTAAGCCATGGATAAAAGAGCCCAAATTGAGTATTTTCTCCTTGGCTGTACAACATCCTCCATAGACTCAAATCCATTCTCCCAAGTATTAAACACTGAGCCAGGAATGTAAATCTATTCTTAATTACCTTATCACAAATATTTAATGCGCAGCCTGATTCAAGAGGGCTGTTTATAAAATTCTTGTTTGTTTGCCTTCTAATTATGAATGTTTATGATCTTATGCAATTAACTGTGTGATGCTGATGGATGGGTTGCTGAGTCAACTGAGCACCTGTTTTCTTAGATAATTTTGGTTTCCAAATATTTATAAAAGTACAAAATAACTTGTTTTCTTCTATATTTGCCGGGCTCTAAATTACTTATTGATTTCCCGGTGTCAAGCTCAGGAAGCTGTAAAATTAAAAAGGAACCAAGCAGAGGGGTGGGCAGGGAGGCGAAAGTAACAGTGATTCATTTGCGACAGTGAATGCCAAGAGTAAGCAAGAGTCTTATCAGTTTATATCAAGCTATAGGAATTTTAGCTATTGAAACAAGTTTTGTCTGCCTGAGTTAAATTATGATTGGAATTCCTATGCTCAGCTTTGTGCACCCCCTTCCAGAAGCATCCCCTGTTGAGGATCATTCTTGTTAACTGAGTTGAATCTTTTCAATTAAAGACCAGACTTAAGTGGAAAATCCTTCAGGAATAACTGTATTCATCTAGAAGCATCCAACTAGAAGCAGCTATTCTAGAAGCCAAATCCTGTATATGTGGGGAATATAACATGTTGGTATGAACTTCTCTCTTTTCAGCTCAGAAATGTTTATATGAGAATTTCATATGGATTCTGGTAGACACCTAATCCTTCTCCACTCCTTCCAAGTTCACTTTCCTGCTTCTGCTTCACAAAATCTGTTCTCAATGGATTCTCTGTGAAAGCTGTCCTCTTGAGGAGGAAAACCTCTATGAATTTCATGCAAATCCATGTTGGTCCAGATTGTTGCCTCATCCACAAAATTCCTTGTTTGTGATGTTCATGAATTGAGGCTCTTTCAGAACATGGGCACTGAAGATGTGCTGTTTTCATTTGCCCTTTCCTTTGTGGAGACCTGAGTGGACCAGCGTCAGAGGAAATTCCTTGAGCTGAAAATTGTTGAAGGCTGGGGGGAGTACGCAGGGGAAACATCACAAACGCTTTCCTTGTTCTACTCTTTAGTCTGTTTGTGGTCATTGATGGAGACAGGGTAGCAGGTAAGATGGATCCTTGGCCATTCCTATGTTCTTAGACTTTTTGTTTGCAAAGGGTTTTGTCATTAAGAGACTTCCCAGATGGCTCTGGTACTAGAGCTGGCCTATATATGTGGTGGGATCATTACCCCGCAGTGAAGTCTGCAAAAACCATCTGAGTCTGATTGCATTGCCACATTAATGTGGCTGTACTGTTTCCAGGATAAGCAATAGTATCTCTGAGCTTAAACTGGGGGAGTAGGGGGAAGGGAGAGGTTAACCCAGTGCTGTGCTCTGAATTAATATAGTTGAATCTGGAACACATGCACATGTATGCACAGGAAACCATACTGATGTATTTCCGTTGAATTCACTCCTGGTATATATTAGACTCAGACTTTTCTGCTCTTTCTCATGTGGCTTTATTATTCGTGAGTCCATGCAGAGGATTAGCCCATGGTCAGCTCTGTGGAGCTCGGTAGAGTCCAGGCATGAGGGCAGATACAAGTCGGGACCAGTGATATTGTCCTGGATGCACATATTACTTCCCAGAGCGCAGAAGCTGCTTTATGCTTCCCAGCACAGGCAAACATGGCAATGCCTTGGCAATACGTTATACTCCACCTATAGACTATCACACTGTACACGCTCCTTACGCTAGTATCTTGTACTTCCCTTTTTACATTATACATGGAAGAGTACCCAGCATGGGGATTCAGCCTCTGATGGGGCATCTAGAGACTGTCCTTTTGCAAAACCATCACTGCAAGTGAACCAGCCCCAGAGAGCACAGAGCTGGTTCCAGATCGGATCTAAAGCAACAGGTAAGGATCATCAATACAGGTTGGCTATGCAAGGGCTGTTTCAGTGCAGTTGTATACACAATCACTGGCAGGCTCGCAGCATCTGGAAGAGAGCAAGCTGACGAGACTGCAGACTCTGGGGAACGATTTGTCTCCTCCATTTACCCACTACCCTACTTTCATTTTCATTACAGAACAGGAATAATCAGGCTATTTCTTTTCTAGATGATCAAGACGCAGTCTGCAGCAGAGCTAGCACTGGTGGAAGCTGTCTCATGTCCATGTTCTGCTGATTGCCACAACTAACTTGGAGCTTCTGCACACTTTAAATATAAGGGAGTTGGGAATGGGAGCACAATTAAGGGTGAGTATAAGACCCAGAGATGAGGCTGATGTCACCGTAGCATTTGCCTGAGCCTTGCAAAACATGCCCACGCCACACCATGATCCATGTGGGCAGTCTCCGTGCCAGTGAGGAAAATGTTCTTGGTGCTGAGGGAGGACACATGCAGACTATGTGCAGGAGGCCCTTTGCTAGAACAAGAGACGGGATTAGTCAGGACAGAGGTGGGTTGCCGTCAGCAGGCCTGCACCAAGAGTGCTTAAGAGAGAGGCCTTCAGGCTAAAAGGGCTGTTGGCAAAGCATGGG